AATATTTCTCCTATTTTTTTTTTTTTTTTTTTTGTGCGAATAGTGAAAACTTACGCACAAAATTGTTACCTATTATGGTTATCGTTGTAGCCATGAACGTAAATAGTAGTCCAAAAGGTTTCGAAAACGAAAAATCAGGAAGTTTTGTCTTTCATTCACTGCAAATTCATTCCTTCCTTAGGCCTTTGAGGCTATACTCTCCTAACTCTCCCTGCTCTATTCACGTCCGTGGGTCTCAATACCTGTACAATACTACTACCGGTTATTTCCAGTAAAACCTACCGTTTTTTGCTAAACGTGTGTGAGTTGTTCTTGTAAAGGTTATCGATGCCCCAAGATAATTGTACAAACGACTGAAAAGTTACTCGGTCACCGGGTCCGCAGGCAACATCCCTCTGCCTCGACAAACCATACATATGATCGACATACTTCTGAACGTGCGAAAGTGTCATATGAAAGGTTCGAATTCGTGGCGAGGCGATTTCACCGGAGGAAAGACCAGGAAGGCCAGAAACAACCGTCATTAGAAGTGTAGTCGATGGATCACCATAGGAATCGCATTTCCGGCGAGGTTTCACGATCCAGCCAAAACCGGCCATCCTATACTACCACAGAGCCTGTAAAGCACCACGGAAAACACGTCACGTTCAACCTCGTGGTGTCTATACTCTATTATCGTAACAATTAGTAGTAACATATAAACATTCCCTCCCTTTCCCCACCTCTCTATTTACACCCTCAGGTATGTATAATATTCATTGTATGACTCAAAATAATTAATAATTAAAAAAATTATATTATATTTTGACACATTATGCCAATGCATTTACCAAAACATTTATGTTCAAATAGTACATAAATTAAGGTAAAATCTCAATAAAAAGCACACCATGATATTAAGAGGATCGGTGACGTACAGTCAACACATACCCATCTTTTGACCATCCTACCAATCGACCTAATAATGCGAAAATAATTCTGAAAACTGATTTGAATTCGTTATTGTGTCTACTTGAGATCGGTCAGTCTACTTTTCCCAATTTCACCCTATCTATAAACTATAATTTAATTTGAATATTTTGAAATTTCTGAATTTTGAAAAGTTAATTATTCAAAATTGAAATCAGAATTCTTAAAATGTGGACTGACCGATCTCAAGTAGACATAATAACGAATTCAAATCAGTTTTCAGAAATATTTTCGCATATTCAGGTGGATCGGTAGGATGACCAAAATGTAAATAGTTTTTAATCAAATATAACACACGTTCTGAATCGTTCGCGCGCGTGACGGTATGACTTGTACGGCGGTGACTTGTACGGCAGTGACTTGCACGACGTGTGCCGCGTGCAGAAACGTTCCTCCACCACTACCATTCCACCGCAAATATCGCATGTCACCGTCTGCGATGGATTACTTAAAAAAACTAATGGGCTATTCAAGGTACTGTTACGATACAATTATAAATATCTTATATATATATATATATATATATATATATTGATAATTTGGTATGAATTAAAAATAAAGTAATATAAAATAAAATATTGTTCTGAATAATTTGTTCATTTGAGCTTCGCCTCACACAAACACCTCACTACTAAAGTTGTTTCCCTAATATAAAATATTAAGACGGGTTTCCGTTCTTAGATAGTTTATATAAAGTGTGACTTTGTTTTATTGATAATAATTTTGGTAAAATGAGAAATAAAAATCAAAGTAACTCAACAGTAAGTGAATAAACTAAATTAATTTTTTTTATCATTACTAGGGCCCGGAAGTTCATGTACTAAAAACCATCAAAATATGCATGCAAATAAGCGTATATGCTTAAAATCATTAAAATATGATCTAAATATGCATTTTATTTTATTTTGGCAAAGTTTTTGTAAGGATGTATTTTTCAACAAATAAATTTTGAAATATAGCTATAAATATATATACCCTAAGTCTGACATTATCATGAAATATTAATGAAAAAAAATTAAATAACACACTGTAATACAATAAAATATGCTGTAAAATGTAATTTTATTTTAAAATATGTATATCTTTTTAAAAAATCTCAAAATATATGAAAATATGAACACTAAAATTTCATTTTTGAACTCGTTTGATTATAATTCAAATTTTTTTCTCATCCAACAACTTTTTGATGCACTCAGAAAAAACCTGCAAATGCATGAATAACTTCCTAGCACTAATCATTACCAGTTTCATATTTTATTTTTGTTCATGTTATTTAGTAGAAGAACATCAATAGTTTGACTATCCCAGATGAAACTGGAAATAAGCATTTTTTAAAAAAATTGCTGAAAAAAGTCAAAAAAGGTACTTTCAATTTTAAAAATTGTACGTGTTATAACTTGACATACACTTCTATAACACTCTGCTACATTTTAAGTCAGCCCATAAAAATAAGCAAAAACTCCCGAGCCCTGCTAATAACTAGTGCTCTTGATTTGATGTGGGTAATACCCGGGTACCCGTTTATTTTCGGGTAGTGGGTACTCATTACCCAAAATGTTCGAGTACCCGATGGTTTTTGATGTACGTAAACGGATTAGCTAAGTTTTAACTGCTAAGAGGTAATCAGTATTAAATTATACATTACACAATTATTCAAATAAAAAATATTAAAATATTTCCTCTTTTAAATTAACAAAATTACTTTTTAAAAATAAAATCTTTAGTATTTTATATGAGTGTTATTAGTAATATTATACTTCTATTATTAGTTTAATCAAGTTTAAAGTCGAATAACATGTTAAAAGCTATTATAAAGCCTATATTTAAATCTTGCAAATAACGGATATAGTGGCCTTATTCGTTACCTTTTATGTGTATAGTTACGCAGATAATAATAAGTAATCACAATCAGTGGCGAACTTACGGGAGAAGGCGTTCAAACCCACCCCCAGAGCCAAAAAAAAAAAAAAAAATTGTGATATTATTGATGACGTGTAATATATTCATAACATTCATAGTTTCATCGTTACGCATTGAATTTGGGATCTAATTCGGATTCAGCCTGTGCGCTATGACGGTAATAAAATTATTGTTGAACTGTTTACTGATAAAACATAATAATTACGCGTTCGGGGAACTCACGCACACTAATGATCAGTTACTACACACACACTCACACAGCAATTCCCAATGAATATAACATATTGCCTATACTCAACCCCTTAAAAACGGTCCACTTTCAACCGCCTTAATGTAAAACAATAAAAAATAAAAAGATAATAAGGGAGCTCCGAATATACAGCATATCCCATCGAGATGTTTAAATATATATATATATATATCTCCTAGCTATCCATTTTTTCAAAAAGTTTTTTAATTTCTATACAACAATTTATGTTGTTATTTATTATTTGATTGAATATATTATGAAATCTAAGATGAGAACGACAAACTTTCGCAAACGGCCAACACAACTCTTCGAGTAACCTTTTACAATAAGAAACAACTGGTTTGAAAAAGGTCAAGTGATGGCGTAATAATGGCAATCATCAGAAGTGCTAAAACGGGGAAGAGAGTGAAACTTCGAAAAATCCTGAATCAACTATCACTCTTTGTTTCCTTTACGTAATACTTACATCAAACGAGGCATTAGAAATATGTATCTAATAATATTGAATTAATATATAAATAAATAAATATATATAGCTTAGCCTGGAGTATTATTAAATTTGTAAGGTTCAACCAGTTTTGAATTAAAAACGAGAATTTGAGATTTTTTTCTCAATATATTCATTCATATAATATTTCATATTCAGTCACGAATTTATTGATTTTATATATACCTGACAATGAATTTTTAATTTTAAATTTGTCATACTTTAAAAAATATAATAATGTACTATACAAAAATAAAGCTTTTATTTATTTATTCTATGTATAAACTATTTGTTTATTTATATATTAATTTATGAGTATAAATCATTTAATAATTTATAATTTTTATTTAATTTTAATTATTTTATTAAATATTATATTATTTAAGAATTATTTAGTTCATGGCTACAAAAAATGTGCACAACAAATAGGGGTAGGCCAAAGAGAGGCAGGTATAATAGTATGATGGTTAAAAAAATGGAGGAGATAACAGAGAACACTCTTAATATAAATTCCTCAATTTTGACTCTTCATATATAAATATAGTATTTTTGTAATAAAAATTGTTTATTGTTTAATTGTTTAATTGTCCCCCTTTGAAAATAGTGTTTGCGTCATAATCTAAGTGAACAGGAGTCTGAAATCTAAATTGTAAATGTTAGGCAGTGGCGCCAAACACATACTCCGAGTAGTTCAATTGAACTGCCTAGAAAATCTGAATGTTAAAAAATTTTAATTACTTTTTTAAATTTTAGTTGATAAGAATTTTCTGTTTAAAATAGTATATTTAATTATTAAATATTTTATAACATCTTTAATTATTAAAGATCTGTAAAAAAATGTTTTGGTATTTGAATGGGTGGCAAATTAGAGTGGGTTAATGGGTAAATCTAATTATTTGAACTGGCAGTTTCAATTTCATTCGTCGCCATGGTTCTCAACGTTCCGTATAGTCCTATACAATTACTAGGTTATTAATTATAAATAGGTATATATATGTTATGAGGTGTTGTTATTGAACAATTTCCTCCACAAACTACTCGTGTGATGTACAAATGTACAAACTTTTCAATTACTTACTTATTGTTTTAAATAACTGATTGTAAATATACCTATTTCAATAAAATAAAATAAATTAAAATAACGTATTTATAATTATATATTGCTATACAATCTATAATTTATATTTAATATTACTTGGTTTTGTTTGTAAAACACCAACAGTTGCGCTTATGCCCAAGAAAACAGTTGAACCACAAACTATATATAAAATATTTTCATATAGTCTGTGGTTGAACATTTCAGACATAATCGGCATGTGTTATCAACCAATGGTATGCAGTCAACGATATGATAACAAGGCAATCTGTTATCAACATTATCTCGTAGATAAATAAAAACAAACAGTCATAATCATTTACCGGCAACTTTTTGAACATTCGATCGTTTTGTATTAAGTCAACCGTTATATTTTGTTCAAAAGTAACGTTGTGAGTGTCTTTTTTTTCATATGCAAATTCTCCTTGCAAGCACGAATATTGTTTCAACTAGTATGTGTAGATAATGTATTAGTTTATATCATATTAGTATTAGCCCGTGAAAGTAAAACTTTTGAAATGAAACTAAAGGTAAAATATGCCGTATAATTAGTGCACGGTAAAAAAAATAGTTTATAATATTGGTTTGTTATGCGTTGTAGGGTCTTCGACTTGATCCAACGTCGTGTAGATCCAAAATTTGGCGCCTGGCTGCTTATAGCCGTTTATCTGTATTGATTTTGCAGTATCTTTTCGATATTCTTATTCCCGATCACCAAGCTCATGATGTATTCATATCGCCGAGTTTTCAAGATGAAGATACTTCCAGTGTTGGCCGTACCGTTACCTTTATGTTCGGCGCAAGTCTTCGATGGGATGCACAATATTTTCTTCATATATTTCGATATGGTTACACATATGAAAACACATTAGCTTTTTTCCCTCTGTATCCTTATACCTTACGGCTGTTGACTGCTATTATTCCTGGCCATTTAAATACTTTATTCCTTGTAGCAGCAATACTTTTCAATAATATTATTTTTGTTCTAACTGCATTGGTTTTATTCAACTTAACTTTGCGCATTTACAACAATACACAATTTGCTTATAATTCAGCTGTACTGTTTTGTTTCAATCCAGCAAGCATCTTTTTTTCAGCTCCATATTCAGAATCATTGTTTGCTTTTACAACGTTTTATGGAATGTATCTTATATCAAATGAGAATATTTGGAGATCATCATTATTTTTTGGTCTTTCTGCTTTGAATAGATCCAACGGACTACTTAATGCTGGTTTTCTCATATACTTTATTATACAATCAATAGTAAAAAAAAAAAAATTATTCAAATGTTTTTTAGGCATATGTTTCATTTTTGCCTGTTTTAGTTCATTTCAAATATATGGATATTATAAATTCTGTATACCGCAAGCACACTCATTAGATCCAAAAGTCGTCAACTATGCTACTACTAACAAACTTATTATACCAAATAATCATAGTCTACCACCATGGTGTGGTGTGCGTATACCATACACTTACATTCAAGAAAAGTATTGGAAAAATATTGGATTTTTAAATTACTTCCAAGTCAAACAGGTCCCTAATTTTCTATTGGCTTTTCCTTGTATTTTACTATTATTAACATTTGGATTAAAATATTTTTACAAAAATAATTTTATTTATTTGGGCCTTAGAAGCAGAGATAAACCAGATTTTGTGTATATAGTTCATTCAACATTATTGACATTATTTTGCTTGTTTTGTATTCATGTTCAAGTGACTACTAGAATGATGGCATCTTCAAGTCCAGTATTATACTGGGCTTGTGCATCATATTTTAAATTTCCACTGAAATTAAATAGTATTACTTTCAGTTATTTATTTGAAGATTATAAATCCAGATTGGTTATATTATATTATTGTACATATTTTATTGTTGGTACTGCGCTTTTTGTTAATTTTTTTCCATTTACATAAAAAAAGAAATATTCAGGAGAAAATCATGTAAAAACGCATCATTGATTGACTATAAAAAGTATTATGTGTATTGTTAATATAAAAAAAAAAAAATTCTATCTAGTTTTATGTGTTCATTTTTAAATACAAACGTTATTATTTTATTATGTATTACATTTTATTTTCTAACTACTATGAAAATGTATCATTATTTTCTTTTTTATACTGTAATCAGATTACTTATTTTATTAGCATAAATTATAAATAATTAAACGCTCTTTTATACAAATAAAAAATAAAAAACCTTATAAAATGTTAAAAATAATTTTTATTATGTTGCTATTTATCATTTATTTTCTTGATTGGTTTTAAAAAAATTAAAATTTTCAAGTTAAACACTACATTTTTTTAATTTGATTTTATCTACTACATTTGTAATTTTTATCACATATTTAATGTAAAATAAATTCTAGGTTAACCAGCAGTATTAAATATCACTATATTGTTATTTTTTAACTTTTAAAATCGTCTTTTCTGCTTTATAGTTCAAAAATACACCTGTTGACGTGTATCGGTCTACTAACGGTAATATCTGATAACATTAATGCAGTGTCAAGATATTTATTTAAAAGTCTAAATTGATCACATCTATACAAAGAAAAGTTATTATAATATAAGGATTTTAAAAACAAAATTATAATACTTATTTTTATAGTTCCTACGCAGTCATTAATTTCAATCACTCATTAATACAATTTAATATACCTAATAGATACCATGTTGAGTTCGTTAACGAAAGTTATGATTTATTGATAACACTTATTATCAGAATATTTTATAGCAGTGATTGCTGACATGGTTTTGTTGCATTTTTCTAGAATAATTTCTGTTCCGTAATAATTATGTTTTTTAGGCTTAATATACTTTTAAGAAATATTCGTCCGTTGTTGAGGATGAATCAACGTCATTCTTCATCTGAGGTAATATAATAACTTAATTTTAAATTTCCAAATATTTTGTCTTTAATGTTAAAAACGTGTGTTAATAATTCTGTAACTACATAGCAATAATTATAATAATTTTTTTACTTACTTTTGAATACCAATAACCATAATTTTACCCAATAAATTATTACATTAATATAATATATTATAGAGTGTATAAATGTGTATGCCATTTTTATTAAAAAGTGTAGTAAAACATAAAAAAATCTACAAAATATTTACATTAATTAATATTATTGTTTGTGAATACATTTCGTTAATATTTAATATTAATAATAACATACAAACTTTTACCAAAAAAAATCTTAACAATTCTCAGTTTGATTCATAATATAAATTTAAAATTTAGGGAAAAACTTAAACTTACATAACTGTTATTGGTTATGGGAGTTATGTTTTTCTTTGTAAAATAAAAAAAATAAATCATTTTACTTATTTAATATTTTTAAAGTATATTGTTATGTTTTATGATTTTGTTTACAGAATATAGCAAAAATCAAAGTTAATGATATTGAAATTAACTATTTAAAAGTTGGAAGTGGGCCAAAGGTATTATTATTACTGCCCGGAGCATTAGGTAGTTTATCTTTGCATAAAATCAATTTTACAGTGATTTATACATAAAAATATGATACTAACCTTAGAAATGTTATTCAGGTTCCATATTTACTGATTTTAAACCACAAATTGAAACTCTTAATCGAGATAAATACACAATAGTTGTATGGGATCCACCTGGTTATGGTCATAGTCGACCACCGGACAGAGATTTTTCACCAGGATTTTTTTATCGAGATGCAAATTATGCAATTTCATTAATGAAAGTATTTAATTTTTCCTGTTTTCATTTTTTACCATTATGCTAATCTACATTTAAATCTACCTAGGAGCTACAATTCAATAAATATTCTTTGTTGGGTTGGAGTGATGGTGGTATCACTGCACTTATTGCAGCATCCAAAGCTGTGAACCATGTGGAAAAACTTGTAGTTTGGGGTAGCAATGCATATGTAACTGAAAAAGATTTAGAGTTGTACGAGAAAATACGAGATATTCAAAAATGGTCTCCACGTATGAGACAACCATTCATTGAACTGTATGGAGAGAAGTATTTTTCAGAGACTTGGAGTGCATGGGTAGATTCATTTCAAACAATTCTCAATAAAAACAAAGGGGACATTTGTCGAGAAGAACTGTCTAAAATCAATGCACCGACTCTCATCTTGCATGGTGCTCAGGATTCTCTAGTGCCCATGGAACATCCTGTCTATTTACATAAAAATTTAAAATATGCATCGTAAGTTAATAACATAACAGACATAATTTTAATGAGAAAACAGTACAATTACTGTACATTAATGTAAAATAACAATAATTTTTCTAATGTCGCATAACATTTATGATTCAATTCAAATTAAAATGGCAGTATATGGAGTTATACGAGCATTATTATATAAATTCTATCTACTGCATAAATAACTATATTTTATTTCTTAATAAAAAATCATGTAGTGAAAGGTTAACTATGGTAGGTAATACAAAATAGTGGATAAACCAGAAGGCTCTGATCTTAAATTTTACAGTTTAAAGAAGAAAAAAAATGTTTACTTTGGCAGTCTTAATATGGTTAAAGGCATTACTAGCCATCATTTTCTTTCTCTTTCTATTACACGCGCAATATAGGAATTTGGACGTTTTCTATTTCCAACGTACCGATCGATCTATTGATGCGATAAGGCTTTTGAAAACTGAATTAAACTTATCGTAAAATCTTCTTTAGAAGATTTTATAAATTTTATAAATTCACCCAAAATTTCACAAAATAAGATTAAACAAATTGAAAACATAAAAATTAACAAAAAAATTAATTTTTAAGTATGTTAAGTATAAAATTTAAAAAAAAAGTAAGAAAGTCGATCTAAAGAAGACTTTACCAAGAATTCAAATTAGTTTTCAATATTCTTATCGATCGATATACCTATATTGCGCGTATAATAGAAAGATAAAGAAATTCATGGCTTGCAATTAAAAAAATAAATGCAATTAAATAAATTTCTGTAACTTGGATAAAAACTAAATGAGCCATAACATATCACACCAACAAATGCACAATAATCGAAAACTTAAAATAATCATATAGATATCTGTTGTTTTCACTGATGCGTTGATTAACAGATTTTACTTTTGGTATTTTCAAACATACCATTACACACTTTGTTGAGTCATGTAGTCGTGCGCGTAACAGAGCTTATTTTAACATACAAAGTACGTGGCACTAGTACTCCCCCCCTCAGTAATAATTGAATGCTATCCAGTGGTGGATGATTTTGCCAAAAATGATTTAACCAACACATTATTATAACGACCGTAGTAACAGGAGTTGATTTTCCCTGTATGTTCCTCTGCAGAACACCACGATTATGAAATACGATGGTAGACAATTTTGTTGAAATACAACCAATGAAAATTACTTAACATATGTTCTGGCGCGTAATGAAACATTCATACGATCTAAATAAATATACGTGTGCGAGAATCGCAATTAGCCACCACCACAACACACGCGCCATTGTAATAATGTGTACGACACGGGTTTTCACTGATTGTTTCCGTTTTCGGTGCGTTTGTTGCAGGATTAAAGTTTTTCCCGACGCCAAGCACAACGTTCATTTGAAGTACCCGGAAGGGTTCAACTCCGCGGTTGACGAATTCCTGTGCGGGACGACGCAATAACACATGGGAATCGGGGATAACTGTACCGTAGTAGATAGGTTAGATTAGGTTACTAGACGGGTTAGGTTATTGTACCAGAATATTCTTGTTACGGTTTTTTTTTCTATTTTATACATTTATCCGCGGGGTAGCTCGTAGTTTAATGAGAAGGGATCATGAGCGGACCCGATGAGGCAACGGCAGAACGGTCGTTACGGACGCTGACGTTGAGCGACAAAAGTTGGCTGTACAAAGGCGAGGGGAACGCAAACGTCGTGCTCGCGATGCCTGCGGACGGGACGGTGTTGCGCGTCATGAAGGACGGCGGAACGGCGGAAACACTGCGTCTGCGCACACGGTACTACGACGCGATCCGCCGGTCTTTCTTGGACGAGTACACCGACGTGCCCGTGCTCGTGTCAGTGCACGAGGAACAGCTGCTCGAGGTGGACCGACGTCTGCGTGCACAGGGCTGCCGGCCGTCGGACAGGCTTTACAAGGGCCTCGCGTTCACGGTGGGCCTAGCGGCCGTGTGCCCGGACTACACGGTGCTGATGCAAGCGCGGGCCGCGATCACGCCCGTCTACTGCGTCGAGATCAAACCGAAACAGGGATGGCTGCACGTGACCGACAGGAGGGCGCAGGCCAGGTGCGCGTTCTGCGCGCATCAGTATCTGAAGCTGTGCCGCGGTGAAATCTCGGTCGTCAGCCGGTACTGCCCGCTGGACCTGTTCTCCGGGCGCCGCGAACGGGTGCGCCGCGCTGTCCGCCGACTGCTGCACACGCCACAGAACAATTTGAAAATGTTCTTGGATGGCGTCCCGCTCGATGGCCGGGACGGTGGTTTCGCGCGAGTGGCGAGCGACGCGTTCGGTGACGAACACCGGTTCGCTGAGTTCGTCGCGGCCGTCTTGCTCGACGATGCCGCTGCCGGCACGGATCAGGAGGTGCACGCGGCCGCCACGGAACAGGACCCGGCAACATCGCTAGCCGGGTGCGACTTCGAAGCGATTCCCATGCCCCGGGACTGTGTGCTGCACAAGATCCTGACGATGCAGAAGATGCAAACGACCGGTTTCGCAATCGTGTACTCGGAGTACGACCGGTCACCGAAGTCCGCGGCCGCGCAGTTCGGCCACGTCGATCGCTTGGTGCGGGTGGCCGCGGCTGGAGGACAGTTCGTGCTGGATCCGTTGGACGGCTATCTGGTAGCCGCCACCGCTCAAGACTGTTCGCTGTTCGTGACGTTCAGCGGCACACGGATGCCCAGCGACACCGTCCAACAACAACGGGGTGTCGTTCGGTTCGGCACCGGTTGGTACGCGGTCCAGGTCAAAGTGTCCGACCTGGACCCGAAACCGTTGTCCACCGTCGAAAAACACCGGAAACGAAACGCCGACATGTTGCTGGCCTGCGAACAGTACTTAGGTCGGTGAAGAAACGGCGTTCGGTCTGCGAACCTATTGTTTTACAAATATATAATACTCAGGTTGCATCTCTCTCGCGTCTATTCCATCGATTCGAATAAAATATTTTTACTTCGTGTGTATGATGTGTTGTTAATAAGTATTGTTTTAAAAAAATTTATTTTATAACCTCTACGAAATTAATAAAATAATAATATAATCAGTTTTCAATTAAGTGTCGGCTGTGTGGTTTTTCAGGTCCGAATACTCCCAAAAGTTTCTGGACGATGTACCTATTGTTAGTGTTGTTACGTTTTAAGATTAGCACGTAAAAACTATAATCTTAATTTCCAATCGTAAAAAAGTTATGTAAAATCTCACAACCAATCACTTGTAAAATCACTAATCATATACTTGAACTTACAATAGTAGTATACAGGGGTGGATAAACCCATAGAGAAAAAGGGATTTTCCCTGTGGCCCCTCGCCCTTTATTATGTCGGTGGCCCCCTCGATACCATTAATTTTTTCATGAAAATTTATTATTTTTTTTCTATAGTTAAATTCTTTAAATTAAATTAAGATGAGTAAGTATAATACATTTTTTAAAAGCAATTTTTTTTTCTTTCATTTTGGTGGCCCCATTAAAATATTTCCCTGTAACAAAAAAACTACTATGGTAACTCACCTCTGGTAGTATACCTAAGTAAAAGGAGTGTTTTATTTTTATTTTTAAGAAAACCCAAGAACATTGTGTTATTTTCCAAGATCATTTCTGTCGCCTACACTGGAATATGTGCCCTTTCTACGTCTGTAATTTATTGACAAACGTAAAAGTACAAGGAATGGTGTTTTAATTAAAATCGCAATGATATAAGGTCGATAAAAATTAATATATTGCGTAAAAAATTTTAAATGGCTGAGAATTACGAAATAAATAAACAATAGATCGGACGGACAATAATTTAGTATAGCCGAAAACTGCTACAAAAATTAAATCCTCATTTCCGATTTACTTGAATAGTTACTGCTTACTTATGGTATACTTTGTTATAACTGTACTTATATCCGTAGAGGCTTAAATAATATCTAATAATTAACTGTGTGGATAACATAAATATCATAATCTCATCAGACGGAATGGATAATTATAATATAAATCCCACGAGCACCGTAATGACGCAAGTTTTCCATTGCTCCTTAATTAAGCATTCTTCTTAAGTACTAAAAGCATGTGATGGTAGTAGTGATGCGAGAGGTTGAAACAGATTGACACGAAAGCGTAAAATGTATAAATTACTAAGTATCATATAACCAGAAGCGCTGTTTTTATGGTAGACCCTTGGGCTCTAAAAATGTATCAATAGATAATATCAAGGTTATTTATTGATGACCAAAAAACTGAAAACACTCATTTATTACTTTAAATTTTAAATTTCAATAAAAATGTGTTTAACTGAGTAAATTTTATTGTCATAGTTTAAAATAATTAACATGAGAACAAGTTGTATTTTGATGGCCATTCTCGTTCCACAGTACACAAGGCTTATATTTAATACATACACGTATTGTACAGTTCAATTTGATTATTTTTGATTCAAAAATATATGGATCACAATGTATCAGCACCAATTTACGATAATAAGCAAGGACGACATTGTCTAGTTGAATTCATGACACAATTTATAAAAATATAAATGTTCAGACTAATTTTTGGTCTAATAGTAAAAAACAAAATAAAAGTTCATGGCGGTACACAACACAATAACCAACAAGCAGGGTTAGGTTTGAAATAGTTCACAAGTAGTGTACATACGATAAATACGTATAATATAAATAATTCACTCTACATACAATATTAAAATTATAAACGACTGGATATGAGTACATGTTTATTACATATGAAAATGGACAATAATTAATTAATCATAATATAAAATAACTATACGGATTTATAAAAGATGACTTGATGTTTGAAAACTATATACGTCACCTGACAAATGAAAATATTTGCGATTTAAGCAACAATAATAATAAAAATAAAAATAATAATATATAAATAAAACAATGAAAACAATAAAAATGACAATAATAAATAGCAAAATATTTCTATTATGTATCAATATTGTATCTAAAGAACAAAAGATTAACATGACACAAATATTGTTTATTATTACACAAAATATATAATAATAATATAATATATTGTCTATTAATTATTATATAACATGGGCCCCATACACATATTAGTATATTACCTGTACATACCTGTTGTAAATAGTACATATATCTACTGCTGTTTCAAACGTCAAGATATTCGATTAAGACAAATTGCATCCATCAATTATATTTTCACATGAAATAAATTAAATATAGAAAAAAACTGAGGTATAAAATAACATAAATTGGACATTAACAATAGATAATTACTAATAGTTGCATAAGTATTTGTTATATCATAGTCTGTGATAATTTATTTTTAAACAACTATCAACTGTTGTCTAATACAAAATAAAATATTCTATATAAATAAATAATTAGGATAAAAGGATGGATCACATGTTAAGTTAAATTGTTTATACAATATGATAATTTAGTATATAAATATATTGTCGTACTTAGAATGATATAATAATTTATATATATATATACCATTTATAAAGCTACTAGGTTATTATAAATTAATAATATATACTTTTAGTTCTTACAGAACATCAGGTGAATACAATTAAATAAGTATAATTATTTTACTATAGTTGAATGTATATTATAAATGGAGAGTAGAAGTGGAGAAAAAAGTTTATTACAATAATAAAGAAAACAGATCAAGCAAACTTTTTTCCCCAGTACATTTTCGGGTTAATCTACTCGTAAATTAAATATATTTATGGATGTTTTATTACAAGTAGTTGATAGAATAAGCACATGTAGAAACCCCTTCAATTGAAAAATGATAAAAAAAATGTTATAAAATTATTTATATTTGTTTGGTTAATTAGAAAAAATAAATAAGAATATGAAATATGATAAGGAAGAAAATAATGAAAGGATAGTAGGATTATTATTTATTATTATTATAATACGCATAAACCGCTAAATAACTAGAAGAAACACATTATTAGATTAATTGCAAAAATAAAATAGATCATCAAATCACCTACACAACAGTAATTTATAATATACTTTTAGAGTATGTAGTTCCTTATTTTTTTTAACTAATAAAAAAACACCAATTAATTTAACTTCTTCAGACTGATTAAGAAAATAATTTTTCACATCATTATTATAAAAAATATCCACATAAAATGGCATAATATAGTACTAGCCTAATGACTAAAACAATATTTGTAATATATAGGTCTAAATTCTATACATTACAAGACATATTTTGCACAATAACTGTGTAGGATAAAATTAATGGCAAATTAAAATTACTACTCTAATTTATATATAAATAACTTACTATGTAATTCATGTAAGAATTAATTTTTTTTAATTTATTTATATTTTGTTTTAATAATATGTAATATTAAATGTCTTAATTTTATGAAATAAACATATTTAAATTTACTTTGGTTAATAGTCTTTGTGGTAACTTTAAAAAAAAAATGTTATCTTGTTTCAAAGAAAATTCACGAAAAAAAAACCATTATTACAATCAACATTAACAAATAATTTTTATTAAATTTCCAGAAATTTAAATTTTAAAAAGATTGCATAAAACAAGAAAGAATAAATACTTATAATACTGTTGTTCATTTCAGTTTTGGGATGTTAAAAATAAAAAAAACTATTTTTATAAAATAATAAAAAAAGAAACTTAAATTTAAGTTAAAATTCAATGTAAATAAATATATATAATTTTATTATTTTTACCACTTAACATCTTTGGGGTCCAGACAACATTATGCCACATACACATACAACGTAATATCACAAAAAAGAAAAAAATAATAAATTAATTATATGATCTAAGACTTAGAATATTTTAATTTAATTTTAATTTTTATAATTGTATATGATGTTATAGTTGTATGCATGTGTGACAAGTATGTGTGCGTGCATAAAAAACAATAATTCGAAACCACAAAAAAAAAAAATAATAATGAAATAAAATATCTAATATTTCAGTATGCTTTTCATATAACTATTAACTATTACCAGATTTTTAAAACTGGTCAGCCAAAAGATCACAAATTTCAATAGACACCGGTTCTTTGCTGGATCTTACAGTCAAACGATACATCTATAAAAATAAAAAATAAATAACATTATAAATAATATTTATTTTATTTTATCCAAATAATTTATATTCAAGTTTTACAATTCTTTGTTTATAAGTAATAAGAAACATTTTAATTTTTAATACTGATTTCTAATCTTTTAATGAAAAATCAAAATATATTTATTGTGCTTTTATTACTAACACATTGGTCATTCTTCAAACATTAACAATTAGAATTAAAAATAGAGCAATATAATAAGTGTTTAAGATGGATTATTTAAAATCAATAGTACTCGATTAAACAGTACTGAAAAATATATCTAGACAATCAAAAATGAATATTGCAGCTATTAAAACAAGGGCTACATTAGCCCTAAAAATATAACTATCATATACATATTGAAATCAATAAACATAGTAATCACAATTATAATCCTATAGACTGTTTCTCGGAAAACTTATTTGTATTTTATTGTTACTATAATTATAAGGTAATCAATCCACATTTAAGCGGTCATGCCGTTACATAAATTACCATTTGTTAATCAAAGTAGATTCATATAAACAATGTATGAATTTCTACAATTTAAAATGTAAATTTTAATAAACAAGTTGGGAAAATATGGTACTTTTAAGTATATTATATTTATAATTCATTTAAAAGCAATATTATTTAAATTTTTTATTTTTTTTTTTTTTTTTTGTAAAATTTGGTGTTGTTGTTTATTTAAATTTTTAATTAAATATTTATTTATTATAAGATGTTAAGCAAGATACTATTAATTTATTTTTATTTGTTTAATTCATTCAATCTTTGGCATGCGCATGTACATTTTTAATAGCAGCTATAAATACATACCTGAGCTTGTTTATTGGGTTCTAAGCGCAACAAACATCCAATCTGTTGTGTTTTTGTATGAACAATACCAGCACAAACAAAATTATCAGGATTTGGATCGATGCCATCTAATAACTGCATACCAAACCCAGAAAGTTTTGTTCTAGTCGATACCTGATCCATTGGCTGTGATGCTTTAAATATTTTTTGTGACTTTTGTGGATCATGATTACTAAAAAACAAAATAAGAAATAAATTAAATTAATAAAAAAAAATGTATTGAAAATTATTAAATACAGTATATAATATACCCAAATATAAATTAATTATATTAATATCAATTACCTGCCAAGATTTTTCCACCGAGCAAAGAAAGACTCACTGTTCATTTCAGTTGGTTCATAAAATTTATTTAAAGTTACTGGCAATTTGATGGAAACATTTTGTGGGACACCGTTATACACAAATGAAACATTAATAACAGGTACATCTAAAAACCAAAATGATTTGATAAATACTTAACAACTATACAATCTGAAAAATTAAAAATACAAGACATTACCTGTATACTCTTCTATACATTCAACAATAACTAGCTGCTGTATTTGTGCACCAGCTTCCAGAACTGGCTCAATAGGTTTAATTTGAACAGCTAATTTGGTGACCCAAAGATGAGGACTAGATAATACTGTGGAAAAATTCTGGAAAAAAAATGGTTTGTTAAATAAAAACTAATATTAAGTATTTAGATTGAAAATTTACCAGCAATGGTATTGTTGTTTTGTTTCCATAAAACAGACTTAAACGCCCCAAATTTCTTTTAAACTCACATTTTACACCAACTTGAATTAATTCATTTTCAAACAAGACTCCATTATTTTTACAAATAAATCTATAAATAAAAAATAAATTTAAAAGAAAATAAAATATATAAATATAAATAAGTTTACTTTTTAGGATTATAGTTATTTTGACTGGCATTCAATGAGTTTGAACCAGTTGATCCTCCACTACCATATAAATCTCCCAAAACATCAACTAATACATTAGCATTACTAGAATGTGTAGAAGATGCAATTGGTGTTGATAAACCTAATAGATCTGCAGAATTGCTGTTAGACTGCAAAATTTATATTTAAAAGATTACATCATTTTCATTTTATTTAAATGTTAACAACCCTTACATTTGAGTGATTATTAACATGACTATTTTGATGGTTTATAGGAGAAGGTTGGGGACTACGATTTTCTTGTGTTTCGGTTTCTGGTACACGACCTGGTTTTTTCTTTTTCAAGACAGCTAATATTGATGATTCACGTTCAGGAAAAGATGGCATTTCTTCTAAAACGGTGGCCTAATAGTAAACATACAAAAAAAAAATAGGATGTGTTTTAACTGAAATAGATAAAATTAATGACAAAAACTAAAGTTAAAGATGCCATATTAATCTAAAATCAGATACTAAAAAAACAAAATTCAGATTACCTGATTACCAAAATAAATATATATTCCAAAAAAAACATACCAACACATCAGTAGATACAATTTTTGACAACTGTAAGTACTCTGATGCTCGCTGTTGTAGTTCGGCATCAGCACTTCGTAAATTGCTGTCTTGTTTGAGAATTTCTTGAATTGTGGTCTTTACTTCAGGGAATAAATTAATGAATTTAACATATGTTGACAATAATAATGCTCGAGTCATTGGAGAACACAAATGGTACTATAAATACAAAAATTATTAAATAAATCAAACATTTAAAATTATACATTTACTTATTTTTACCTTGGAATGTAATAATTGAAATTGGACATTTGGAGCAGATCGAGTATCACCAGCAATCAAATTTCCAAACTCTCCAAGTATATACCCCCCAACTTTTACCATATTTTCATGACAAGCAGGTGCTTGAAGAGCCTATAGTTTACATAAAAGTGTAATAATTAATATAGTTCTTATTATAAAATAAAAATAATATAGTATAACAAAGTATAGCACCTCAAATACAGTCTTGGCAGCATAACCTTGTACATCGTCTCTATTTATAACAATTTGAATAACACGGTACCAAACCTCTTCGGAAACATAATCACCTGCTATCCTAATTAAATTCAGAATAACATCCACATACCATGTATAATCAGTAGCATATTTCTCGGCCAATATAGCTACTTTCAATACCTACATAACAAAAATAAATGTACTAAAATAATAAAAAAATAATAATAGTTTTTAATATTTACCATTTCTTCTCTTATTGAGTAATCAGCAGTTTCCAGATAATTTAACATTTCCTGAACTATTTCCTCAGAATTTGACTTGTCACACATAGCATACAATAAATCAACTGCTTGCTGTCTAACGGAAACATCTTTTTCCATCTAATAACAAGTACAAATTTTGTATAAAAATAAAAAAAAAAATTTTAATTTCAATTAACAACTTACTTTCATAGACAATATAACAACTTCTTGATGTTTCTTAACGGCTTCATGCGAAAACTCAGAATTTGCCAAAAGGCACATAGACTCCAGAGCTAAATATCTAAGGTTTGTTTCTCGATTAGATAAAAATTGGCCCAACTGGTTGCAAGCTCTAACGAGTAAATTTGGTTCACTACAAAATTAGCATAAAAATGTAAAAATGTAGAAAAATAAGTAAATTTCATTTAAATTGCATTTAATATTGTTATACCTGTCATTATGAATAATCAAACTAATAGCTTCAAATAGTACAGCATTTTTAGCATTGGAATGTTGTACTTTTTTTGATTTAGGAGCTTCTTGTGCTTTGTTCAAAATAGTCTCTAAACATTCATTCAATCTAACTCTAACACCTGCATCTTCTGTAAGAGTACAAGAGAAGAAAAAATTAATAAAAAATATTTAATAACTGTTAAAATTATTTAAATTAAATGCATACCAGGTGTAGAATAATTTTGTAAAAGTCGAAGTAATTTAACTGATAACCATGGAGCTGGGACAAAGTAATAGGTATAATCTTGAAGATCTGTATAACTAGCAGTCACAATCTATATAAAATATAAAAATTTCTAGTTATAAAGAAAGACTAAATTAATATATTCTCATCTACCCTGGAAAGTCTTGAGACTGCAAAACTGACACACGCTTTGTATTCTTTTGGATTTCGTTTAACAAGAGCATCAATAAGAGAAACAGCAGCTGTGACCACACCTAAATGTTGATCGTTTAATAGGTGAACAATTCTTGAAGTCCATTCACTGGCACCATTTGAATCTATGGGTATCACATCAGGATTGGTACGTAATAATCGGAGAAAACATAGTGCAGCTGATTGTTTGACAACATCCATAGTGTCACTAAATATAATATATATTTAATTTAGTATTTTATAATATTTAGTGCATGAAATTTAAATATGCATACCCCGAAACCAACAGTTTTGGTATGTCATAACCAAATGCTTCAGCCATATCTCTACTACCAATATTGGCAATACATTGCATTGCTAAATTTACATGGATTGAATTCCTAATGAAAAATAAATAAAAAAATAAAATATAAAGATATAATCTAGAATAAACATATATTATTATTCAAATATTAATTTACCGAGATTGCAGATCATTCTTAATACTTTGATTAATAAGTTTAATCAAATCACTATTTGTATTTACTAGTACTGAAATAAACAGATAACCCTAAAAAAAAAAATAAAAAAAAAAATCATTTAACACTTAAAATATAGATGTATAAGTGTAATCAACAAAAAATTAAGAAATAATATAAGATTACAACAATCAAAAATTAATGATCAAACTTATAGCAATTTCTAAATAATTCATAAATATAAATTTCATAACATTCTTAAATTAAATTACAAATATTAATTGTTTATAGTAGATTTTTCTAATAGATCATTCTAGAAATCTCAAAATAAAACAAAAGAAATTCAAAATATCAAGATATACAAATATATTATTAAATATAAGTTTCAATGGAATTATAATTCAATTTGTGGTATTGAAATTTTTAAATAATCAACATAAAATTAGTCAACTATATATTATTTTATTACAATATGATGCCACTTAATTAAGTACAAAGACATGTGAAGATGAAATTTCAATAATGGATATAGTCTTCATAAATATATAAATGTTTCAACAAATCCTTTAGATATAATTAACTATAACCATAAAATATAACATTGAATGAACAATTCAATTTTAGTAAATTAGCTTTAAAAAATTAAGCTATCCTATATAAATCTTATATAAATACTTATTATGTGATTAAATAATACATTGAATCAAAGGAAATAATATAAAATCGATTTGATAAATAAACTTACTATTTGTTTTTCAGAATATTTATTGGAAGATAACAAGTTAACAGCTTCCATATGGCCAAAATCAATATCATGACCCAATAGAAATATGAACAAGAGCTTACATACATATTTCTTTTTTTGATATCCATCTAATGTTTTGTCTCCTTTAAATTTGCTCCTTATATTTGCTAATTCTTTATTAATTCTCTTTATTTCCGCCTCTTTACTTTTACCTAAAAAAAATTATCATCATAAGAATAGAACATATAAAAATAGTTTGTGAAAATAAATTAAATTAAAAAAAAAATATCATTAAAATTACTATCAAAATAGTATGTTATATTTACATATTATATTAAATTATTAAATTTAAAATTGTATACATTTACAATACACAACAAAATAACCGCATAACATACTTTATCAAGAGATAAACAATTATCTCTGGCCATAGTATCTGTCTGTTTATTTTCAAAATATTACACATTAATGTACAATTTTAAACAATAAACAAAACAAAAATAAATTTCAATAACAGTTAAAAACATTTTATAGTGATCAAAATTATAAATATTTAATTTAAATAAAAGATATAATTGAATTGCAAAACAATTTAAAAACTTTTTAAAAATTTAAAAATTTAAAATCATTAAACCTATAATGAAATATTGAACATTCTACTAATAGACGTATAAAAATCTAATTACAAACAATGTAAAGTGTGAATATAGATAAAATTGAAATATATGACACGGTTCTATTATATTTATTTATTGTTATCATAGCTAAGAATATCAAAAAATCTTATGTCCAATTATTTTGAATAAAAATTTTCAATATTAATACTACTGTCTATTACTCAAGACTTATGATTTTAACACATAAAATGGAAAACATCAACTTACAATTTCTGATATCTGAAATAAAGACAGCAAGACCTCGCATACCATCTCCTCTAACGGCCGGCATGATTATAGTTGTAAAAAAAGTGTTCAACAATAAACTTTAGACCCAGTCTTTGGAAATCTATAAAACATAATGGAAAAAAACAATTAAGTAATAAAGTTGTAACAAACAGAATCCAGTAAGGGAGTAGAGCAGTTGGAGATCGGGACATTGTGCAATGGTTTGAAAGGTTGTCACCAGTACAGTTGGAAATGAACGCATACCTATTGTACACTACAAACACAGCAACAATAACAATGGTAGCAACTTTTGATTCTATTGGATTTTTAATGGACAGTTTCCTGTGACAGTATCTGGGCAGCAACCCTCCACCCTGGGGGGACAGGCACGTCCACGTTAGAACGATACGAGGAGGGAAATCCCGTCGCGGCGGTTATCAGCGGACTTCCTAGTCCAGCCCCTCCACCATATCACGGGGAAAGGGATAGCCTGTCATACGTGAGACGATAGAGGGGGAGAACTGACCGTACCTGGAGACCGTGACGTGACGGAGTCATTCAAAACGTCACCAACACGGGAACTCTTGATTCTCGGTGGTTGTTTGGTGGTCTCGGAGACTCAGGACGCAACGGCAGTGGACATAACGACGGATTTTCGGAGCTCGAGCGTCGAGTACGTTTGCCTTGTACACACCGCCGGAATATTATCACGACGCTATCTATTGGCAGAGACGACGACACACACACATGCACACTCACGTTAAGTCCGTCGGTTCTCGGAAGGATTTTCTTTTACTACTTGTTCACACCGTCAGCGAACGTCGACCGGCGCGGCGCGGCACGTAAACACACACACACACACACACACGCGCGCGCGCACACAAGCATTCGCTACACCACCTCGGGACTCGGTCAGACCGACTCGAAGAATTTAATTTAATTTTTTTTTTATTATTCCTTTTCCCCAATTCGGTTTTTCTCCTCTCCGTCGCGCACTACCGTCGTCGTGCCACCGTCTCAGTCGTGCGCGCACCGACGACACGGCGCACGGCACGCTCTATCGTCGTCGCGCGGCACCAACCGCTTCCGCAAAACCGATCCGTTGGTCACACTGTCGGTCGCACGCGAACCGGGAGATCGCGCGGTGCGTGTACGCGACACGATAACGGAAATCGATCGTTTCCCGTGGACAGATCCGTGTGCCGTCCGTCAAGCGGGGGCGTTTCCCCGTACTCGTTCAAGCGGCCGCCGTGCGAATCTACGCAGTCTCGGCAACTCGGCCGTTCGTTATCTGTTTTTCGCGCAATCGTCCGCGGCCGCCAAATTCCGTTCAGCCGGTCCGCCGAATCCCGGTGTCCGGTTGACCGGGGACGCACCACGTTATCAGCAGCAGCTGACGCTGCAGCCTCATCGCGGTCGCGACGGTTATCATATGGTCGCCGATCGAGTACCGCGGCGGCACGATTCGTACCGACGGAATGCTGTTCGGCGGCCTGCCAACGAGCTCTGTCGGTTGTCGCCGGAGTCGTCGTATTTCGCTTTCCATGCGAATCCCCGAGACGCCCGTCGACTGCTGGTTGATCGGACTTTGACACACGTTCGGACGTCGATCGACAGGTCGTTCCGCGCCACCACCGCCGCCGCCGCTTTTGTAAGACGACTCGCTACGATTTCGCGTCTTGTAACGTGGACGTCACTTGCTCCGGTGTTTTCTTGCCCTCCGGACGGACGCGGTGCGAAAACCGTACAAAGTTCGACTTGATCGCAATCGTCTGTTGATGCAACAAACTATTTCGAAATGTAATGCCCGAACCAATTTACTCGCGACATTATGTTCCCTGGAGTTGTTGGCGTAAGGTCATGGTAGTTTTAGAAAAATTGGATGGGAGATGTATTATGCGTTAATACCATGCCTCGCGGTCTTTTAAGTCAATTAAGGGAGCTCGTGGTTTTTTTTTTAATTTGTGGACAATGCGGCAATGGTTTTAATTATACATTTAATTAATTAAATTGAAATATTTTAATCCTTGGCAAGTACCAACCAGGTACTTTTTATCTCACCTAATCTATTATTTTAAATGGTGCCCCTTTGATTTTTAAAATCCCCTTTTTTTATCTTTGTTTTGATCCTCACCAGAATATCATCGAGGCAAGGGTGATAATATCAGAATTTGAGAGTGTACACAGTTTTCTAGAGTCTAGAAAAATATCACTGAACTGAGGTTTCCGTTGTTTTAAAAAAATACGGTAATAATGTAATTGTAACAGGCACACATCGTCCGTGACGAACAACATTTCACCGTTGTATTTTACACAACATCGCGTAAAGGTACGTTTTCTAAGGCGCAACATGTCGTCAATATCTGTTCACACGAAGATAGTGTCAACTGTTTTGCAAGACGCGACAGGTCGCGGCGACTAAACTTTGGGTCGCCGCGACCAACGACACTACTGCTCTGGGAGCAGTGCTGCGCGACAAGTCGACGCGACGCCTCACAACGACTATTGAAACAATAACAAAAATTAAATAATATTGTTAATAGTAGGCCGCTTTTTCCGGTTCATATTCCTAAAATAGATTTTTATTTTTCTCCAGATATCCTTTCCTAAGAATGTTATTATTTTTTAAATGGCTATTAAATAATATTTCGTAAAAACCTTCAGTATTACGATATTTAACATATTAAACATATCTGTTTTTTTTTTTTTTT